TCCTTAAATAAATTTTAAACACATTTGATTAAATAAATCAAGGCTAGTCGATAAATAATTAAAAATTTCTCAGAATCAGCTTAATTTACATAAAAGGGCGCAGTCTACACAACAGAAACAAACCAAACTTAACAAAAATTATGTTTAATAAATTAAACGAGCTATTAAATTCACATAAATCATAAAAACATTTTCTATTTTTCAGCATCTATCATAATTAGCTGGCAGAATCTGCTTAAGTAATTAACTTTCATTGATAACTTTTGCTCCTACGCACACAAATAGACTCAAAATTATGCGTTAATTGATTTATGATCAGAACTGAATTAAATTGCATGGTAATTAATGTTTTATTTATTTTAATCTTGCTAAATGTTTCCTGTAGCTGGATTTTTTATTCTTGAGAATTGTTGTTTATTTTTATTTTTGTTATGAAAGCTAGTCACGTTCAGTTGAATGATTTATAAAGTTCAAGATTGAGTAATAATAGGGAAAGGATCGGTTTTAAGATTTATTGTGGATTTATTGTGGATGTGATTTTCATATTTTTATAAGTGTTATGAATGGAGTGAATTTTAATGATTCAAAATTTTCTCAATTATTTCTTATGTAAATCCAAAAACTGCATTACCACCTCATCCATCAAATCAAACCTCACAATCTTGATAACATTAAAATTCACAATTAGAAGACATTTAGATGTCCAAACACATTATCTACAAAAGATTTAATTCTTACATTTCCTCCTTTTAATTTTATTTTGACACGATCTCTCATATCTGATCTTTTATATTCTGCACCAAAGTTGCATTTCAATTTGCAAAACAGTCTTGACATGCCGCGTGAATAAAAGAGAGGCCAAAGAAACATAAGAGAACCAGTTTCATTTAACAGCAACACTTGAGCGTTAATTGAATTTTTATTTGCTCTTGAAAATGTGAAATGAAGTCATACGTAAAGACTTTATGTCAGTAGAAATTTGTTTTGCCATTGAAAGTGGAATTTGGATGATGAGGATTGTTTTCTTGTAGCTAAGAATTTTGAGAGTCAATTTTAAAAGTTTGCATTTTGAGCTTCAATTTTTATCTTTGCTATCTTAATCTATTTAAGTATAGGAATTGCTCTCTTTTTAATAAGAAAAGAGAAAGGAATAATAAGAAGAACTCAAATTACTCTCTCAATCTATAAAAAAATAGAGCATTTTGCCAAAATTAAAACATCCAACTGTGAGTTTCCGTAGTGTAGGGGTTATCACGCGAGTCTAACACACTCGAGGTCCCCGGTTCGAGACCGGGCGGAAACAGTTGTTTCTTTTTTTTGAAGAAATTTACTTTTTTGGTAGGAAAATGTGAATTTTTTGAAATTTTATGATTTTTGTTTATGAATGTTGACTAGACCATCCTTTAATGCGCTCATGACACATCCTGCCCAATGTAAAACCTTCAACTACTACAAACATTTTTGATTATCAGCGATCTCTTAAAATCGACTTAGTTGATGATCGCATTTATTGGTGCTTAATATTGGTACTTAAGTGTGCTCATCAAAAAAAGAAGTCCAGAGGATAAAAACTCTTCATGCAACAATGTTGCGCATGATTATGTGAATTTCATGATAAAAATGAGTCTTTATAGTCGCATATAACATGAAAGAACAAACGCCATTAAGGAGCAGGTTTGAATTTGCGTGTAAACAATGTCATATTCAATTCTTTGGCTTCTCTCCTTCTTTGACGAAAATTGTTTGTCTCAGTGACGACTTTTTTTTTCGTGGCTTTAACGATCATCAAATTGAGACATAAAAATTTCATCAGATTAAATTATAAGAAATATGAGCGAGATAAATTTGTTCGTGTGGGAGTTTGGCAATGATGGCATTTAGGTTGTACTAATTGGAATGTGCTGTGCATTATTAAGTTATGGTTTTTGAGATGGGATTTAAAATTGTAACTTTGGAATGGATATTTTAGTGTTGTTTTATGCTACAATGTTGCTGTGGATGATTTTGTGATTTTTTGGTGAATTTAGAGGAAAAACAGTGCATTGGACATCCAATTTTACAAAAAAGAACCAAATACAAATCACTGCTCTATCCATAATCCACCCCTGAATCAATCTGAAGTCAAAACATAATTTTTTAATTTTTATAATTTCAAAAATAATTTCTTATAAGAATGCACAAAAAAAATGTATGAAAATCAAGTGCAGTTCTCCCCTTTGTTCTTTACAAAAATCTTTTTTAATCTTCTTAAGCAGCAAGTCGAGTAGATTTCGACATTTTTTTAAGTATAAACATACAAGTGTTCATAACAATGCAACATAAATTGCATTTAATTTCTGAACAAATCTTTTAATGATTTTTTTTTCTTTGCTGCTGTTGTTGAAATGTCTGATTTTTTTGTGTTTGGATTCTTATTATTTCTGCTTTATGCATATTTTTTCTTTCATTTTTTGCGCACTTGAAATAATTTTTATTTTCTTTTAATTTCTGATTTTATATTCATTGTGAGAAAATGTTTTTTTTTTGAATATTTTGAAGTGGATATATAGGTGGATTTGATGGATTATATTGAAGGATGCTTGAGAATAGAATGACAACTTTTAATGCTAATTTAAAATAAAATGGTTGAAATTTAAAATTTGGTTTTATTTTGAAAAATTCGATTTTTTTTTTGAAATTTTAATCTCAATAAAACTTCCGATTTACCCAAAAATTCTTAATTTTCATGCTCACAACTCCTTTTAACTCGGCGCTTAAAATTCTTCTAAACCAAAAAAGGTATTAAAAAATTTGTAAAAGTCATAAAATAAATTATTAATTTTTCTCTCAATTCTTGCAAAGAGAAATTGTTTCAAGCTGCCGATCATCAGGCCATCGTCTATAGAACAAAGACCTCAAAAAGGATTATAATGCTAGGATAATCAATCATTTATCCTTCAAGTTTTACTTTTTGACATGCAATAAATTTTTCTAGTAATGAAGTTAAAGGATCAAAAATTTTGGAAGGATTTTTATATTTAAAATTTATAGTTGGGATTCGATCTATGATAAATATTTTCGATGATGTGCTTGGTCATAATAAAATATTATTTTAAGACGGAATTTTTGAGTTAATTAATGTTAAAATAACTTTGGTTATGAAATTTGATTAATTAGTATAGTCGTTAATAAACTTTTTTGATGGATTATTGCTATTAATATTAATGTTATCTGTTAAAACGGTTTCTGATCATCGTCACATTAAAATGCATTTGACGGATTTACAAGATCTTTTTAACTTGGTTACCGTGAAATTTTTAACTTTAAGTTTTTTGAGTTTAGAATTTTATTAAGATTTTTTTTTATTTTTCCTAGTAATGTCTAGTATTGAATCTTTTAGAAAACAGTCGAGGCAAGTCTAGAGTAGCATTAAATATTAAAATATGAACACTTATACAAAAATTAACTTTAGTAGCTCTTTAAGGATACAGTCGATCCTCGATGTCAAAAATAAAACAAAATTGATTAAGCAGAAATTTAAATAAAACTGCAATTTGATAAATTCCACTTAAAACTCAGAATATTAAGCTTTAAAACCATTCACTAAAAAATTCTTACTCTCAAAAATGTTCAAAGAATTATTGGTCTTCAACATAAGTGGTCATTCAATGCATTTTATGATTCCCTTATGAGCATTTTTTTGTGCAGCAAATTTAAGAGCCTTAAAAATCTTTAACATCTTTTAAAAAAATATTCAGCATATTTAGAAAAATTTATGAAATTCGACTAAGTGATTTTTTATTATTGAAACGACTTTTTTTTGACACATTTTAACTTAATTAATTTGAAAAAATTTTTTAAAGTAATTAAAAATATACAGAAAATTTTAAATCTTCGGCTAAACCTTAAATATACATTTTTAAAAATTTCAAAAATATTCTAAAAACTAAAGAGCTTCAAAATTACGATCAAATTTAAGTGCAAATGTTGCAATAATTTCTTTCACTTAATGTCTTGGCCTCAGAACTTCCAAAAAAAAATCTAAAAGTCTCCCAAATGGCAATTCTGATGCATGAAAATAAAACATAATCATAAAAATAAATTTTGCGCTCTCGATAAATTTTTGTTTTCGTGCGACAAAGCAAGCGATCGTGTAGCACCTTTCCTGCCATCCTTCTTCCATTAAATCTGGTGCACAACTGCTTCTCATTAAATTTCTCAAATAAGAAGTTTTTTTTTCTGCTGTTCTAACAGAAGCAACAGCAGCATCTTCTCATTTTACATGCTCTAGATTCTTCTTATTCCTTTTTTTGGTTCTTATATTTTTGGGCATCAAGTGCTGTGTTTCATTTGTAGTTGTGTGGGTGTCTCTCCCGAATCAAAAAAGGGGAAATTCCAATTGCCAGAGAAATTCGGTAAATTTTCCATCTTGCCATCTTTTTTCAACACACGATCGTGCAGCACGATCAACCGTAAAAAAACATCTTGCAAGACATGTGCCATTGCATATGTATTTGTTGTTCGGATACCGGCACGCGTCTTCATACACACCGACTCGGTTCAACTTCGGATCACTTGATATTCTCTTTCGTCGTGTTCGTCCGAACATAGTGGGAGACGGAATGAAGAAAAAAAAAAGAATTGATAAAAAAAGAACAGACAAGAGAGTGGGGGAAGGGAGAGTGAGCATAGAAGAGCATAAAGAATCATAAGAACAAGGAATTTTGAGCAGGTAGATAATATTCAACAGAGTACTAAAGCGAAGGGCTCGAGGACGAAGCAAACATAACACTCGCGATCTTCACACAGTTCAAACGTACTTTCTTAGTTCTTGAACTATTTAAAAAAAAATATTTTAAAAAAAAAATTAAAAGAGAGTAAAAAGAATTTTTTTGGAAGTTCTTGACACAGAAAAATTAAGAATTTAGTTCATCGATAGCAGTGCAACAGATCAGACGTATAAAGTTGATCTTGAAAAATTAAAAAAAAAAATAAGTTGTGAAAAAATATCGAACTTTAAAAAAAAAATAAGTTTTGTGAAAAAAAGGACATAAAAATTTTATCAAGTGAAAAAAATAAATTTATGGCATCAGCAGTTCATCGTACAATGACATTAGGACAAAATTTAGCCATGCATTCAAATAACTACATAATGCTCCCAACAAACGTGATGCAATCGGCCCAAAAATCACAGCCGATGTATGGAAAACGACCAATTGCACCAGCACCAACAGTTCTCACATCGAACGGTGCCAATCAAGTGCAATTAAATGTTCAAAAGAAAAAATACAATTATGGATCAATGCAGTATCCAGCAACACAAACTGCATCAGTTCAACGACGCAATGCACGCGAGAGAAATCGTGTAAAGCAAGTGAATAATGGATTCTCAAATTTAAGACAGCATATTCCATCGACAATTGTTACAACATTGACGAAAGGTGGACGTGGTGCTAGCAAAAAATTAAGTAAAGTTGATACATTGAGAATGGCAGTCGAATATATTCGTGGATTGAAAGATTTACTTGAAGATGGTGAAAATAGTGATTCAGCAAGTGCCAGTACAAGTTCATACTATTCAGACAAATCACAATTCTTACCAAGATCGGAAGCATCACTGTCACCAACCCCATCATATTCATCTGAAGCATCAAGTACAATGAGTTATACACCAAATCACATCCAAGGACATCAATTGAACTTCAAACAGGAACCATTTGACAATTATGTTGAGCAATCAACATCACCTGCTCCATCATATCATTCAGAGGTCATGACACACCATCAAATTGTTCATAATCATCACCAAATGTATCCAACATCATCGACACCTTACAAACCCGTTCATCCTACATATGAGAATAATTATTCGCCAGTCAGTGCCGATGATGATGAATTACTTGATGCAATTGCATGGTGGCAAACACAGTAAATAACGAGAAATCGACGGAATGAGATGAAAATAAATTTTTGAAGGTAGGTTTCGATTTTTTCTAAATCTTACACAAGTTCTTTTTTTTTACCTGACGATGTGAAGGAATTGTGCATTAAAATAATGGAAACTCACTTTGAGCATTTTTTTGCGTATAAAGAAATCGAAAAATAGAAGAAAAAGTTTACGGATGAAAAGATTTTTTGTGTTGCTTAAGAAAGAAAAATGTCATCTTTTGTGTAGACAAAGAACTGAAAAATTGTTGAGCAAGATTTCACGTGTGCCTTACTTGCTGCATTGGGGATGAATTTTAAAGTTGAGGATCTTTTTGGAATTATTTGAAATTTTTTCTCCAACTCCTTCAAGATTCTCAAGTCATTAAGGATGAAATAAATATTTTCTCCACCTCTACAAAAAAAAAAGGATATTAATAGCCAATTTCTCTTTCTGTATATCTTTCACAATTTTCTTTAAAATGACACGAAGAAATGGAGAACAGAAATTCTTTTAATTATCTTTCCATGCTGTCTATTCGGTGATCGTCATTTATAAGATTGATAGATTCTACATTTGTGGGAAAGAAATTTTAAGGTTTTAACTTAACACAATCTAGTTAACAACTCTTACAAAAATTTATAAAGACCTCAAAAATGCAAATCCCCCCAAGAAATTACAAAAACTTCTTAAAACAAAAATTTACACCCCCTACATCCAAATCCAAAGAAACTAGATCAAATCTCAACAAAAAAACAGCATAAACATTCCCAAAAAAAAAAAAAATTGAACATATAACTGCCCTATCCCACTATCTCACAGTCCCGATCAAGACACATTTCACAATGAAATTCTCAAAAAATCTTCTTTCATTCTTATTCTTGTCTTCATTCTGCAGCATCTTACTTCTTTTTATATTTTCTCATCGTAATATGTGTAGCAGATTTGCCGTCGCTCTTTTTTCTGTTCATTTATGTATGGCAAAAGAAATGCACGACGGAAAAGGAACATAAAAAATCTGTCTTCTCTTATTTCTTCATCGTATTCGTTCCTATAAGATGTTGACATCCCCATGCAAGGATTATGTTAGAAAATTGTCAGAAAATTTAAAAAAAAATTATTTTAATTTGCTCAAAAAAAATCATAAAATTCAATTTTAAAAATCGACATAAAATCACCACAAGGACATCCATCGTCAGAATTATTCTTGTTCTACATTATTTTTTCTCTCTTGTTGTTTTGTGACAAAAACTCATGAATTTTATTCTTTTTGTATTTACAGATGTCTACTTGATACTCATCACCAAATAAAGATTTGCACACCGAAATAAAAAGAAGAAAGTGTGTTGCGTGCAGCAGCAAAACAGCCAAATAAAAAACGAACATCATAATTAATTAAAACCAATGAGTTCTAAGCATTTTTAACGTGAGAGAGTACAAATTAAGTTAGAGACAATTTATGCCATGCGGCTGATTACGATTTAAGAGTACAACTGGCATTGGCACACAAGTTAATTGAAATGCAGAATGTTGCGGCATGTCCAGAAGCCGATCATTATCAATGTGACTTGCTGATGATTCAATTTCATGATTAGGACGAGATGCAGCCTGCGATTAGATCCAATGGAAAGTCAAATTTGTAAATAATTAATGGAAGACAATAAACTTTAGGATTAAGGGACGGACTATTGGATCAACGAGGTAGATCGAATTTAAAAATGAAGTTTGGATTGGCAGTGACTCGAGGAGAAGAAGTTGGGGATTCTTAAGAGAATTTGAAGCAATTCAGCTCAATTCAGCTACAACTTAGCTCAGTTCAGCAAAATTGCATCCCAGTGAATTTAAAACCTTAAAAATCCACAACTTTACTAAGCATTTAATCAAAATAACTTTGATATTGTCATAATTAGACTGAGAAACTTAAAATCAAGAGATATGAGGTTATTAGAAGGTACTAAGTATAAGATCTTAAATAATTAATTAACTAAAGTTGTTCTAGTCATTTCGACATGTAAAATAATTATGAATAGTAAAAAGAACCTCATACTCCTAAATATCTTTGACATCTTTTTTAAAAGCAAAGCAAAAAATCCCTTAAGACATTTTTGACACAAAAAGAAGTCTTCTCATGGGGCCACAGTTTACAATAAATGAAATTCAATATTTTTTTGTCATGAAAAAAATTCTCTCATTTTTTTGGCCTTTTGTTATGTAAGAAAATTAGAATATCATTGTGAAGTGACTCACAATTGTGCCTTAAAAGTTCTTTTTTGTAAAAAGACGCGCACTTTTATGTGCAAAATTCTACCTATTTTTATGAAATATGATCAATGATGTTGTCGAAAAATGAGAGAAAAATTATTTTTTTTTGCCATTGAATTATTCTTATTATTACTATTACTATTATGCTTATGTTTAAGAAAGAAAAAAAAATTGGAAGACATGTAAATTTAAGGAGACATACTTAGTGAATAGCTGGTACTGAAATGTTCATTCTTAAGGATTATTGAAAATAATAAATCGTTGATTAAAATTTATTTGAAAAGAAATTTTTTATGATTTTTTTATTGAATTTTTGACTTTTCAGAATTTTTGATCTTTCAGAATTTTTTCTCATAAAAACTGATCGCCTTCATAAATTTATGATTTTAGTTCCAACAAAAAAAAAAATCTTTAATTTCTCAGGTAGAAAGCAAAACTCCCTCAATAGCACAACGGTACAAAATTGCCATTCTTAAGGAAATTGAAGGTTAAAGTGTCTGTATAATATTATTAAAAATTCACACAGCAATAAGCAAAAAGGTGAATAAATTTGAAAAGGATATAAAAAAGAAAATTTTTAAGAAAGTATTTATAAACAGTAAATATGAACAGTTAATACATCCCGGTCAGAAAGATTTTTTTGAGGATGGAAGGAAGTTTTATGAGGAATAATGGACTTGTCGAATCTTTTGGCTACTTGAAGATATTTTGACACATTAGCAACGATTTTATAAGATTAAATCAATTGAAGACTGCTAGATCCGGAAGTATTGTAGCACAATGTCTGATTTGATCGCTCTATTTGTGAAATAATTCAGTATGATCAGTAATTTTTATAAGCAGATTAAATATTATAAATATTTTGAGTGTTGAACAAGATTCTTTACCGATCTCTGATTAGGAATCGAACCAAGAATCTTGCACAAAATTATCAAATTTGTAGATATTCTGACTGGGATCCAAAAATTATCTCAGCAATTCCTCAATAAAATAAAAATCTCCGTTAGATTATGCAAATCACTCAATAATTTCTACAATTATCAAATAAAAAATCTCAAATGATAAACTGCGTGAAATCGAAATGCAGAAAGACTTTTTCATGCTTTCTAAAGAATTCAAGAATTATTTTTTACCCTCGTTTTGCACTCCGATTTACTTAATAATATACTCATCTAAATGAAGAAATGAAATGATAGCTTTAAAGACATGTATACACGAGAAAAAAAACATCGTCTTGTCGGATGACTCTTCTTCTCAATTTATTGAATTGTTATGAAAAAAAAGAGGAGCAAAACTAAAGAAATAAAAACAAATTCTAAAGCTGTCTAGTTTTGCTTTATTCACAATGAGCGACGCGTGTATCACAAAATCAAATCTCTTTCAATTTTTTTTTCTTTCTTTTCTTTGCTTCTCGTCTTTTTTGCATTTTCTTCTTCTGATTTTTTTCTGATCTTCTTTTGTGCATGATTTGATTTTAATTTCTAAAAACTACTCAGAAGGTACGTTATTATTTGCTTATATGATGAATATATGTGCATATCTCATATTACTGTAATATAGTTTTTTTTTGCTGTGTAGAATAATATCTGCTTTGTGAGTACATTTAGCAGGGGATGGGAATTGTTTATTTTTAATTAAGATTTAAACTAATTTTTTTATGGTGGATTTTGAAGAATTTGTAATGGTTATCATGGAGATTTTGGAACTTAGGGTAAGCTACAAAGGCTCTATAGCAAAGTGGATAGGTGGTTCATCAACCTATTCCTGTTCACTTCCACGTCTGTCGAGAATCCAAGCCTCAGCAACTTTTACTATGGCTTCATCATCTTCTCCCTAAAACTACCCAACCCTTGGAGTCCTTGAAAATAATAATAATTTTCTTTCCTTACAAAAAGAGATGCAATTATGAATTATGAAATCTTTGCAATGCCATTTGATCATGTGATTAACACAGAACACAAAAAAAAAATATTCATGAACTATCCTACTTCCTTTTTCAATGCCCCTTACATCCTTTTCCATACTCTTCATCATGAACACAAAAAAAAATTAAATTGAAGGAAGCAGAAAAAAGAAGGAGGAAAGGTAAATGCAATTCACAATACACGTGACTGAAAAGCGAGCTCAAAATTTGATTCTCAAAAAAATATTTTTTACTAACGGCCAAACCTACTCTTTATAAAGAACCAGACAGCAATAGAATCGGAAGTCTTATTCAATTCAATGAATGACACACGCTTCAACAAGTTTTGGCATTTTATTTTTTTTTGTCGTCGACGACTGTTGCCATAGCTCTAAACATCAACCCCATGCACCACTATAATTATATTTCAAGTGACAAAAATTAAGAAAAAAATTAAAAAAATTCAATTCAAGATGCACACTTTTGAATATTTAAATGTGCCAGTTGCTGAAACATTATTTCTATGATGTAAAGTGATACTTTTCTTGTCACTTTATTGCACATTTCTCTAGCAAAAGGAACTGAATTCTGTTCTTTAACTATCCATTCCATCCCTTGACACAACATTTAACATGTGAAACATATCCAACAAAATATACAAATTCAAGGAAATGGGCAAAAAATAGAGGAAATTGTCAAACGCCTTAGAGGATCGCCTCGGGAGAAAAGTATAAAAGATTTATGATCGGCTAGTGCCTCTTGATGCCTTGTGTTGTACAAATTTTAATTGCTTTGCGACGGACATAAGCGTTCGAATGAAACGATGGACGAAATTTTAATGGATTATCTGGATTTATGGGATTTGGAGAGTGAGGGATTGTTATATGAGATAAGTGGAAGTAAGGGATATAGGACAAATTTTTCAAGTGGATGTTGAAGATTTAAAAAATTTTCGGTGACTTTTTGAATAGGTCTAAGCGGTGATCTTGAAGCAATTGCTACTGTCTGTAATCTTTGACGTCTGTCTGGTTAATGACCAGTTTAAAAAATGCAAAAAATTTTCAAGTGAATGCATGCTTCAACAGTTAGTATTATGACATGAACTTTGATTTTTGCAAAAGAGCCGAAAAAGTTGACCTTTGTTGGGTCTGTGATAATATTGCATATTTAATCTAGGACAGGGAGACCAGACTTAAATTGGCGATCTGAAGTTGGTTCTTTGTTGTTTGAATAAAAGCAGTGACTTGAAACTGACCATCAGAACAGCTTATTTAAATGGTCAACTTAATTTTGAGCTGCAAAACATCGACTAGAAACTATAACATAAATTCAAAAAATTCAGTCCCAAAACCCATCAACTCACTCAATATATCTTATGCAAAGAAAACATCACACTTGATTTATTTCCATAGAATTGATTTATTAATTATTTATCTTCGTCTTCCTTTTAGTTCCTACCACTTTCTTTTATTTTCTCACATCCCATTAACTCGGCAACATCGATATTCACAGAAACTTCTGTTTGGATCATTTAAAATGATAACATACATCAACATATAGATTACATTTACAGACGATGAGAAGCCACAGAGATACAAGACTCATGAGTAAGCAAAACGATAGCGAAAAGAATTTAATTAATAATGTGGGCGTTAAAGTCTCACAAGGCACTCGTAATTAAACAATTTCTCAAGAAAAGGAAGAGAAAAAAAAATGTGCGTAAAAATTATAACAATTTTTAACGACGTCGATCGTTTGAGTGTCAAAGTCAAGTGGTAGAAGCAATGTTTTAAGCATTTTGATGAATCTAATTAATGAGAAAACGAGTTTAATGGTCTTATTGAGTTTTCTTTATGGCTTGTGGATTTGCTGGCTATTCAAAAAGGGGGATGTGCTGTAATTTAGAATCTTTTGAATGAAATTTAGTAATTTTGGAAGGAACTTAAGAGGGACATAACAAAAATTTAAATATACCTGATTTTTCAATCAAGTCTCGGTCCCCCTCAATCCGATTTATGTCTCAAATCGCCACAGCATTTAAATTGCAATTTAATTTTATATACACATACATATTCTTAATAAAATGATCTTAAAAATTACGGACGAAATCATTTATTCCACCCAATCGAGGCGCGCGCTTCAAAGGCTATTTAAGAAGCACTTAATTTTTTCACTGATGTAATTGAGATTGAAAAGACTGAAGTAAATGTAAAAAGAACGAGTTTCGTCGTACGACATAAACATTTATATATCTCATGCCTAACGAAATCCACAGCTAAATATGAAGACACTAAATGAAAAATTTTATTTTAATTAATTTCAATATTTTATTTTATTCTTTTTATCGTCTTATCTTAATTACATCGAAGCGATAGAATGAGAGTTAAATTTAATTATTTTACATTTTGGACCTTACGTCTTTATTGATTGAAGATTAATTGTGGAATTTTTAGATGCTTTTGCTTTAATTGAATGTTTAGTTAAATTTTGTGTTCCTTTTCAGAGTTCTTCAGTGTTGCTCAGACTTTGATCAAAGTTGCTTCAGGTTCACTAGCAAAAATCTCAAAAACTGCACATCCAGCTACCTTCTCAAATCTGCAATCAATGCACAACAATGTCCTATTCACTATAGCCAAAAAAAATTAAAAAACCATCTTCAATTCAAACTCAAGATCCTTTCAATTATTTTCTATAATTTCAGTTCCACATTGCAGAATCTGAACATGAAATTAAAAGCATGTAGAATAATAAAAGTGAAACCTTCTCACGCATGAAAGGCAATCAATTAATTTTTCATCCTCACTTTACACTTAGTTTTTGCTTCTATTTCTCGTA